AATCTTCACTATCGTTACTTTTTGCCCAGCGAAGCGGGTCCTTGCAGCTAGATTCTAGATTACTTAGAAAAACAGTCTTTTATATATATAAAAAAAAAACTATATTACATACAAATAAAAACCCAGCGAAGCGGGTCCTTGCAGTTAGCCTTGCAGATGGCGGAAGTTTAAATGAAAGGTATACTACAGTATTCTATTATTCTATACCATACAGTACATAGTGATACTATTGTGATACTGTACTAAATAAGCTATTAATGTTTTATAAGAAATATTAATTGACTTGAATAGGTTTATCGGTAGATCTCATCAAAGTAACACTGAAAATTTTAACGATTACTTGGTATTCTATGTAGATCTTATAACTATATCCCCTTTTTGTATGAGCTAACAATATACATATACTATATTGAAAAGTATTATGATTAGTGTCTCGATGAAAGTGTCGCCTTATTATACGTTTTCTCCATATGCTTACATATATCATATCCACGTTTCAATTCTAGCCTACTGATAGAGTAACATTTTTGGAGTCTATGTATACGTTAAATATAAATCTAAACTAAAATACTGAGCTGAAAATCGTGAGGCCAACTTATATGCCAGCATATGTGATAACATATTCTTATATACATATGTAAGTTATACATGTTTTAAATCTGTAATGTTGCCATATAAATATAGTAAATGCATTTACTTACAGAAGAAAAAGCTTTATCAGTTAAGAAATGCGTATTAATTTAATCACTCATATTACATTTACAAAATATATATTTATCTTTTTATTTTATATTTAATTTTTTTATTTATTTTATTTAATATATTTAAGTATTTTAAAAATATATCTTTAAAAAAAGATATATTTTTTTTATAGAGTTTTATAAAATTTTTAAAAGATATATTAAAAAAAGATAAATAAAATATATCTTTTAAAAAAGAATATATTTAAAAATATATCTTTATTTATCTGTAATATCTGCAGAGATAAAGCTAGTTAGTTATAATAATATGTAAATAAAGCATATAACTCATAGAGGTAATATATAATTATTCATAAACTGTACAAAAATTTCTTAAATGAAAAGAATTGAAATTTTTTATCATGACAATTTTATCATCTTAATAAAAATAGTTATACATTTTTCACATAAATATTGTTATTTGATGGAACTTCTTTGAACATTTATTAGAGTTTTCAGAAATTATCATAATTAACTCTTTATATATAAAAAATTATATAATTGAAGCAATTTTTTCCTAAAACTTTTATGTATTATTGTAGATCTAGAATCACTAATATAATTCAAGAAGGTTTATTAATGAAATGTATTTTAATTTATGTATGATAGTTCTATTTTAAAATACTTAAATTAATGAAAATAATTTCAAACTTAAATATTTAGATAAAAAATATATATAAAAATAAACAATTTCTTAATTTCATATCTAAATTACAGTAGAGTCTCTGAAATTCATACACCACTGACATATATCAGTGGTGTGTGTTGAATTTTAGCAGACTCTCTGATCAAATTTTGTATGTATGTACACTGTATGTACTGTATATTAAAAAATTGCACTTGGTTCACAGATCAGTTTATCATGTTAATTGCAATTGTGACTGTTTTGCCAACTGCACATGCAACAAACAACTAGCAACTAGTATAAAAATGAATTGAATAAAAATCATAATATAAATGTACAGTACATCAGTCTCTCTCTGTCACATACATTGACAAGTGGTAATATGAAAATTTCATGTATAATCCAGTAATCCAACACTCTATGGAGTGTTGGATTACTGGATGTGATGGACTATAGGAGATTCTACTGTAGTTTTATTATTAAGAATAAAATGAAAGTGATTTTACCACAGAAATGTCTTTATTATCTAAATTAATATTTTGCATTAATCATATAATAGTTTATCTGATATTTATATTTTTTATAATACATTTTATTTTATTTGAACAATATGAAATTAATATAGGATGGTAATTTGTTCTATATATATTTTGCATAGTTTATATAGATTTTTAGCATTGTAGTTTTTCAAATGGAAACTAGCTTTTTAAATTAGAAGCTATTTAATTTTATTTGTTGATATTAATCTAAATATATAAAATTACTTGTCCTGACTGACTGACTGATTGGTTGATTTATCATCACCCAGAGCAAGCAACTGAACCTATATGGTGAAATTTGGTACACAGTTAGGGTACGTCATGAAAATGCACACCAAGAAGGGATATTTCGAAATTTCCCATGAGGGAGAGGATTAAGGCTTAACCTGTAGAACAGCTTCTACTGTACTATTTTAAATGCAATTTTTTTTTTTTTTTTCTTTCAACTACATTTAGTCTTCACTGAGTACTTAGGTGTATTAAATTGATAACATTTCAGACATTGTTATAAATATTTTTTATATTTTGATTTTTTAACCAAATGTTTGAACCATTTTAAATTCAAATTTGTTATTGCATATTGGTTCGATTATAGAATGATTGTAAACGTTCCAGGAAATTGATCAAATTGAAAATAGTTTGTTTGATTCTCAGCAGTTCTCATCATTCTCAGCGGTAGGTGTTATATAGCAATTACTCTGGTTGTTGAAATACTGAATATAAATGGGGTGTAATATGTAAATTTTCGACTATAAATTCGTATCTTCTATTATCAGGACTTATTATACTGGTTTTACAGATAATATTACAAAGATTAACAGAAAACAATTTTTATTTTNTGAAATACTGAATATAAATGGGGTGTAATATGTAAATTTTCGACTATAAATTCGTATCTTCTATTATCAGGACTTATTATACTGGTTTTACAGATAATATTACAAAGATTAACAGAAAACAATTTTTATTTTATTTCGTATACCTGTTTTTTTTTAATTTTATTTTAGTTTGTACTTTTTATAATTAATGTTAGAAGTAATTATTAATTTGTTTATTTTTTCTACGTCATGCCTTTGTAAGTTCTTACTGATACTCCCTGGTATGCTTAATGTCGGTAACTTTATGTCTTCTATTTTGCATTTTTTCAGGTACCATATTTCCGATTTTAATCTTTCTATTTCTTTCTCCATGTTTCCTGTTCTTTGCATTCTCTGATTCACCAGAATTTCGGCTAAATATATTATTAAAAAATTTGTTTAATTAAATTGCCTCAATGTCCTTTTTTCTTATTAATATGTAAATTTTCGACTATAAATTCGTATCTTCTATTATCAGGACTTATTATACTGGTTTTACAGATAATATTACAAAGATTAACAGAAAACAATTTTTATTTTATTTCGTATACCTGTATACATACACAGTTTTGCGTTTCGGACATATTCGTCCCTCCTCAGCAGGTATTTATATATGTTCTATAAAACAATAAAATTTTTATTAAAATTTACATTTTAAAAATTTCCGACAAAATTATTTAATGAAATTCTTACAATTTTCCAGTTTTCTTTAATTTTTTGCTCTACTGGATATTCAAGTTTTATCAACAAGATCACAATTACTATTATTTTAAACCTATATTAAATTAAATTCTATTAACATTATTTCATTTTTATACATTTGTTTTTTGTTATTACAACTTACATTTGTTCTCTTTCTGTTTGCCTCAAACCTCGTTTCCATTTCTTTCCATCGCTCTTTATATCTTTTGGACACACCCCTTTTTCTATGAATCTGAGCCATGATTGGTGGATTTCTCTACCATTATTGCTGTTTATTCTATTATTTTGTCTGATTATATAAATATGTTCATAAATAATAAATATAATCAGACAAAATAATAGAATAAACAGCAATAATGGTAGAGAAATCCACCAATCATGGCTCAGATTCATAGAAAAAGGGGTGTGTCCAAAAGATATAAAGAGCGATGGAAAGAAATGGAAACGAGGTTTGAGGCAAACAGAAAGAGAACAAATGTAAGTTGTAATAACAAAAAACAAATGTATAAAAATGAAATAATGTTAATAGAATTTAATTTAATATAGGTTTAAAATAATAGTAATTGTGATCTTGTTGATAAAACTTGAATATCCAGTAGAGCAAAAAATTAAAGAAAACTGGAAAATTGTAAGAATTTCATTAAATAATTTTGTCGGAAATTTTTAAAATGTAAATTTTAATAAAAATTTTATTGTTTTATAGAACATATATAAATACCTGCTGAGGAGGGACGAATATGTCCGAAACGCAAAACTGTGTATGTGTCCAGGTATACGAAATAAAATAAAAATTGTTTTCTGTTAATCTTTGTAATATTATCTGTAAAACCAGTATAATAAGTCCTGATAATAGAAGATACAAATTTATAGTCGAAAATTTACATATTAATAAGAAAAAAGGACATTGAGGCAATTTAATTAATAAATGGGGTTTGCTTGCAAAATCCGCGCGGGCAAAGTTGCGGGTAACAGCTAGTTATACATATTAGCCCAGGATTATTTCAATAATGAAAATAAATAACTTAATTGTTGATATTAATACAAAAACGATTTTTTTTTTAAAGAAATTATCATTTATATTCAAATTCTAATATACAATAATTTAATAATTATTTAGTAATTCTCTTTAAAATGAATCAAAATTTATAACAATATTTTTATGAAATCATACTTAATAAATCATAGATTTTATTTAATTTATATTGTGAGGATTTTAATGTTCTCTATATTACCAAATAACTTGCCAAATTTTTATTGTGCTATATTAAGGATAATTAATAATTGGATACAAAGCAATTTGGCTAGAGGCAGTTAAACTGCCATCTCTTCATATATTTAATAATTAGAAATAAATTAATTTCCTTTCAAAATATTCTAGATTAAAAATTAATTTATTTCTAATTATTAATCATGAGTTGGTGACTGAATTGCCTGCCTCTAGCCAAATTGTTATGTATTCAATAATTAATTAGTTTTAATATAGCACAATAAAAAAAATCTGGCAGATCATTCAATATTACAAGTGTATTGGATTATTGTATATGTTCTTTACATTGATAGCCAAGTCAAAATAATTTCATTTTATAAATCTGAGTATTTCAGCTTATCATATTGTTAACAGAATAAAATAATAAAAATTACAGTTTGGAGTAATTTAATATTTAGAGGAAATTACATATTTTGTTTTAATTATCCTAGTAATTAGAAATGAAACTTAATATATGAAGATTTTATATTTTGTTTATTAGCTTGTTAATTTATTATTTGATTAGACATGTTCTTAATAAACATTAAGCTCTTATATATTGTTTTTTTTTTTCCAAGTTATGAATCTTGAATCTGATGTAGCTGGTGCCACCTTTATGGCTGCAGGAAGTTCAGCACCTGAATTAGCAGCTGCAGTTATTGGAGTTTTTATAGCAAAAGTAAATATTTTGTTTATATACTCATTACCTTTATTTAATAAAATTGGGTTGAATTGTTATATGTATAATTTTCAAACTGTAATAAAAATTTAAACTGAAATGAGATATTAATTCTATTTTTATAGTAACTAAAAAAATGTATATTTTTTCTAGGATGACATTGGAGTAGGAACTGTCGTAGGATCAGCTGTATATAACATAGCTTTTGTTATTGGAATATGTGGATTATGTGCTAGAAGGGTAAATTTCATTTCTATTCATCATACCTATTTATTAATATTATTTATTTGAAAGTTACTTTTAAATGAAAAAATTATGTTGATAAAATGTGGATTATAAAGTGAAAGAATAAATTATATGATTTAAGTGTAAATACTATTTACAACCAAATGCTATATTATATAATATTATATAAAGATGCAACTAGAATAATGCATTAATAAAAAACTAATGAATAGCTTTAAAGCTAATAAAAAGTTTTAGTAGTATTATATTTAAGATTAAAATAATTACCAATATAAAAATGTTGGTAATTGAATAAATTACATCATTGCTTATTTCACTCAATGCCTTAATAAAAAAAGGAACATTTTTTGTAAAATAGCTGACCATCTTTTGCTTGGAACAGTTTATTTAACAATTTAGAATAAGATATACAATATATATCTCATTTTAAATAATTAAACAAGTGGTCAAAAATGTTTTTCTTTCATTAAAGATTTATAAATTCTGAGGCTTAAAGCTTATCAAAAAAATAAGAATTGTAACAAATTCTAATATTTTGGCACTTGATAATTGTCATCTATTAATTAAACAAGAAATATCATAAATATATTTTTTTGTTTGCTTTTTGACTGTAATATTAAATGTTTCTACTAACTTAAGCCCTAACATAAATAACTGGTTTATCACACCAATGAACATGAACACAAAAAAAAATAAAAAAACTATATGATAAATTTAAGAAATTTAAGCTTAAAAAAAAAAGAGATTTTACAATAATTAAAACTAATATGTATACAATACACCCAAAATGTATTTCAAACTCTAAAATAGTCCCTCTTCAGTTAGTATTTCAATCAAACTCACAAGATAAAAATACATAAAAAGTTATATTAAAAGGTCAAAATAATGATGAAGTTTCTAAATTGTGATGTCTTCATCATTATTTGGCCAGTTTCTTGGGCAAATAATGATTGCTTAATTGGCCAGTTTCTTAACTGTCCAAATATGATTGTCATACTTTCCCGCTGTTATATATAACAGCTGGGAAAGTTACACTAAAACAAGAAGGAAAATATGGGTTAATATATTAAATATGGAAAAACCCATATTTAATATATTAAAATAGCATTCTGTGTCCCCAAAGAGAAATATAAATTGAAACTTTATGGTATATGCTTATATTTACTAGAATGAAAACTCTGAATAAAATCCTTTTATTTTGCTTCAATACCTAAATACTTTAATGTTAATATGTCCATATTTTCCCTTCAACTATTATGGTAACCCTACATTGAAGAGAAATTTATGAAAAACTAAAATTATTTTTAATATTTTGAATTAAAATAAATTTAACAGTTATCACCAATATCTCTGTTTCTGAACTACATATGTAGATAAATAGTTCAGAAACAAAAGTATTGTTGTTGAGCTAGTTGAAAGTATATAATACTATAATGAAGTTACAGTAAAATTAAGAACTGCAAATGAATAAAATTCTTATAATTTATAAGAATTTTATTCATTTGCAATCCTTAATGTAATATCATTTTATTGATTTTAGAAATTATCAAATTTTATGTGTTTCCATTTGTAAAATTTGTAGTTGCATGTGCAGTTTGAGGTGTAATATTTTATTTTTTAATTTTCCACATTTTACAACATAATTATATATATTAAAATGATTATAAAAGAAATCATTTTGTAATTTTATTAGAATATAAATACATAATGGAAAAACTTTATGATATTATTTCAAAGTTAAAGTAATAATAATAATATTTTATTATTTTCCTGAGTTATTAAAACTATTTAGATTTCGCTTAAGAATGGTTTAAATATAATACTTGATGATTTGTGTTAAATTTAAATAAAGTATTAAAATTTTCTTTTATTAATTAAAGAAATGATTAATAATAATATATATCAAAATTTTTTATTATCCAATTATAAAAGTAATATAAAATTAAATGTTTTATTTTAGATATTATTAAAATAAAATGTTTTATTTATATATTACACAAAGAAAAATATTTTTACAATTATAATAATTTACAAAATGATAATATTCTACAGATAGGTAAACTTTATTAAGTTTATATGTTAATTATAAATGAAAAATTATTTTTACAATGAACAATAAATAAAATTTGATTTTTATTTTAAAATTTTTTTAAAAAGTTAAGACAATATTTACTGAAAGGCATATAGTAAATTATTACTATCCAGATTATCAGATAATAAATAGTACAACTAATTTAACTTTGATAATTTATATTTTTAAACATTAAAATGAATTTAAAATATATTTTGAATTTATTATTATTTTTTCAGATTATTTATCTTAATTGGTGGCCTCTCTTCCGTGACAGCATGTTTTATTTAATTAGTATAGTTGCATTACTGATTGTAATGTATAATGAAGTAATAACATGGTATGAACAGTTTCAAATTTTTAAAAATACATTGTTTATATGAACAGAAATTTTATGTACTATTATTGATAAAAATAAATATGTATTATAATTTAATTAATTATAAATTATGATATATATTTTTAATAATAAAAATAATACATAAAAATTTCTGTGTACATAGTTTAAGATACAGTAGAGCGTCGTTTATCCGAAAGCTGGTTATCCGAAACGTCAGTTATCCGAAAGCATTCCAGTCGGCAAATTTAAATTTTCGCTAGTGCTGTGGCACTGCAATCTTTGGCTATTTCTCAGGCTACTCAAATATTTTACGTTTTTGATACTAAATTAACTTCTGAAGTATAATTTTTTATTGTTTTTATATTTTTCAATAAATTTATTTTGTTTGTACAAAATAAAAAAATAATTTTTAACGATACAATAGTCTTTGTTAGGCTTAACATCGACGAAAATTCAANAATTATCATCAGTAAAAAGTTAATAAACTTACCATTTGTTTTTTCTGTATTTAATATGTCATAAGACAATGCATTTTGGTAAGATCTGAAATAAGTATGAATTATATTCCTATTTCAAAAATTTCATATAATTTTGAAAATATATAAATTTAATTACTGATTATAGTTATTTTCTCTTGATTGAATTTCATTGTTTATTTTACGCTTTGATGCAGATTTATTTACAGGTTTGCAATGTTTCTCATTTGAGGTGAATACTAAAGGAGGTGGCAAATTTGAAGAGATTTCTGAGGTAGTTTGAACAGAAACACGTCCATGAGTGACAAATTTTCGGATTCCACTTACAAGTTCTGAAATACAAATACAAAAATAAAATTTTAGAATATTACTTCTAACTTAATGTTAATAAATTCACATACTTGTTTTTCAATTAATGTATTAATGGTTTGTTTATGTGATAGAAATCTAAAATGTCTAAAATGAGGAAATATTTATATGCAGTTTCATAAAAGTGTAATGTTGTTCTTTATAAAATTGTGTGGAAACAGAATAATTAGATATAGAAATTAAAAAACTAATTTTATATCTTTCAATTATAATAAATTATCATTTAAAATTTTTCAAGTAAAGAAATTTGTTGTTAACCACTCAGCAGCGACCGACGGATATATCCATCAAGGGCGATCGTGTGGCAGTGGTGACTGATGGCTGTATCCAAAAAAGAATTTTGTGGATATCGCCAAAAACTACCATAAAAAAAAAAATTCACATAAAAAAGGAATTATGTAACAATAAAAAAAGACTTTTCATTACTAGACATAATTGTTTACAAAATCTTTTTCCGAAATGGTAATGAGAAAAAAACGCATGGAAAAATACTTAAAACATTTCCCACATTTATTCTCCACTACATAGGGATAGCACCATACCTGACTAACCCACTGCTGAAAGGTTAATTAATGATGATCATTTATTGCTGTGTTAACATTATCGTGTAGATTTCATTTGGTAATGATTAAGACTGTTCTTTAGAATGCTGTAGAAGTGAACAATAGCTAACTTTCAAGATAAATATATTTGTAACACTTCATACTATGCATGATAAGTTACTAATAAACTGGATTAATACATCATTTTTTTTATTAGTAACTTTATTGTAATATGATTTTTAATAAATGTTTTTGTACTAACAGATAACAAAGAGCAATGATCAATTATTTATTGTGACTTTGTCACAAGTTGAAGTCGGGCTGCAATTTTTAATCATATTTTTAATTTATTTAATTTAAATATATCCTCTCCACCTCAAATTAGTAGTGGCTTGCCTTTGTGCATCATACTTTTCTGTTAACAATAGAGTCATGCCAGTCATCTATCTAACACCTTTTAGGGGAAAGTTTTGAATTGAAATAATGTGATTTCTAGTTTGCATCAGAAGTTTGTATATAGTTAATTGGGGCCTCCTGCCCCTAAAGTTTCCATATTTGTTCTCATCCTTTATCTATCTAACTCTGTTCTTGGGTTTAAGGAAAGACAGACAGATGACAGTGGGTATTTATAGGTCTACAATTTTTTCAAATTGCAGCCCTATAANAAAAGCATTAAAATAGTTTATTATTATTATTAATAAGAAAACATCAGTATTATTTATATATATTATATTTTTCTCAGCAACAAATTAAGGTGTTTTATTTTTATGTGTTTATTTGCTGAGCACTTTTAATGTCATCAGTGTTATTGGCAATATTATTTCCAAATAAATTATTTTAATGAAACAATAATTATGCATCATTTAATATACATATATAAAAATTTTTTTTTGTAAGCAATCTGCTTCCACTCAAACATTTCAAGGCAGGAAGTCAGTAAGTTAAAAATTCAATGAGTCTGACTCAATGCTGTTGCTTACATACTGACTCACTGGTTAACTGAACATTAGCAAAGGTGTTTGTATAATTATTTGTTTTATTAAAATAATTTATCTTAAATTGAATATAATATTGTAAATAATAAAGTTGTTTTTTGTTAATAACAATGAAATCATAAAATTATTAGAATTATATTAAAAAGATATAAAATTTTATAGCTAAGATTTTATTGAATTTTTATCTCTTTTTGCTTTCCTGACTTTTCATCCGAGGTGAAATGTTAAAAACAATAAACTGGTATTAAAAAATACTTTAAAACCATTACTGTTGTTTTTTTTTATTTTCCTTGTATATTCATTTTGATCTTTTGATCCTCATCAGTACATTTACAGGACTAAGTTTATCCTATAAACAAATAAATATCTCAAAGAAGAGCAAAAAAATTACAAAAGGCAATACAATTTTTTTTAAAAGAAATCATAAAAGTTTTAAAAGTTCTTTCTTTCTATCATCATAAAATGTTTTAGGCCTGCAAAGGAAATTTCCTTATTTTTTTAACAAAAAAATGTAGCATTATATGTATTTTGAATATTTAAATAATTATTGTTTATAGTTGTTTGATGCAAAATGTATTCATTTAATATTTTAAAAATGATAAATCAAAATTTTAGTATTTTTGGATTTCAAATGTTATATTATTTCAATTATGTTACTATATGAATAATTACACACACAAATATTTAATTTATATATATCATTACTAATTCATCATAATCTGTGAAACTTGACACCATAATTAACCACACTTTGTATCACTGCTTAGAAAACCAAATTTTTTTTATTTTAGGAACGTTTTTAACTCTTGAGTCATCTTCAGCCAGTAAAACATTATAAACTAAAAATTGGACAAATTTTTAGCCTTTGGCCAATATAGCTATTTATTTATATTTGTATAAATTTTATTGTATTTTTGCATTAATGATTTTATGTCAATTTATTCTATGTTGTATGTTTAATTTAAAATAATTAAAATGTGTTTGTTTCTTTTGTTTTTAAATTTATGTCCCATTTAATGTTCTAAAGCTTGTGGCTGAAGATGAATTACGAAGAATTATTATTTAGAATAATAGTTTTTATGTATTATGAAAAAGCTAAGTTAGTTTTAGATATGGAAAATATCATATCATATATTTTCAACAAATACAATACTTTCATTCCTTGAATAATTTTAAATGTAATACTTTTTCATTTAATTTTATATTAATGTTGTTATGTGAATATTTTTTTCATATTTAAATAATTCTAGTCAATATTTGGTTTTGATAACTGATTTTGAGACTGATTACAGAATTTTGCAATGTCTGTATGTATAATATGTTACAAGGTGATTAAACTATTTACATTATATAAGTGGATGCTAGATAAGGTCATTCATGTTTAGATCTATGAAATTGTGTCAACTTATATTATTATAATAAGTATTTAGAACACAATAAATATTTTATAAAATTTCAGAAATAAAAGATTGTACTATAATTATAAATTAATTATATTTGTACAATTGTCTTTAATAGTACAAATATAATTAGATCACATTATTATTTGAAGATGTAATGATGATATTGCTGTAATATTTTCTATCAACTACTATTTAATACATTATAATGGAATATTTCAACTGTATTAGTTTTTCTTTTGTGATTTCTAGTGAGAACCCATCAAATTTTGATTTTATATGTTTTGTGATAAAAACATATATATTCAGCAAAATATCCAATGTAAGATTATATATTTGTTAGAATCAATCAATAATTTCTGTTTGTTTTTTATTGAATTGTTAGATGTATAAATTAATTTTTAAATATTCTAATATATATTATCATTTCTGATCATATATCAAATTTGTTTGTTTCTGACATAGGATAAACAAAATCTGAATTACTAGATTATTTTAAATATTATTTATTTTATAGAACAACTTTTTTTCTTCTTTTTTTTTTTTTTTTCTTTTTTCTTTTTGGAACCACAGTATAAATATATTGAATGAATGTTGAATTATATAAAATTATTAAATTAATTATTATATTTAATAATTCATTATTAAATTTTAGGAATGCAATTTGATTTTTCTTCATTTTGTTTAATGATTGATTTAAATGTATAATGACAATAGTTGATATCAAAAACACTAAGATTACAAAAATTTATAATAAGTTTAGTTTAGGTAAATCATTTCAGATTTACCTAAACTAAACTTATTATAAATTTTTTGAGTTTCAGTCAACATCAGGAATGAAACGAAACATTTTAAAAATGGCAGGAATGATAAAACAGTGTTTTGATTGACCATTTAATGTTCAATTTCAGTATTATATCTTGTTAAGTAATAAATTCAGCTCTGCTAGGATAAATTTTTAAATTAAATTAATCTAAGTAGAGGACTTCAATTAAAGCAGTACATGAATTTATTTTTAAGGAAGAATTAGAGTTAATTTTTAACTTTTGTAAATTGTTTATGTAATTAAACTTTTTATCAGTTCTAAAATTAATTTTGATTTATAAATAAAAATTAAATAATTTTTGCTTTTACTGATTTTGTGTATAATAATATATAAAAAAAGTTTTTAAACTTTAACCTTTTTTTTTTTATTTTTAAATTTTATAATTCTACACAAGCCAAAATTATAAATTTTACCAGATTATTTTCATTTTATACTTAAATTAATGATTAAAACAATTTTGGAATAAAAATATGCAAATTTGTTTTGTTATTAGTATCATTGTACATTGCTAAATCATGCATTTTTGTATTAATAATCTAGAAATCAAAAGAGAAAATTGGATACTATAAATTTGGAATGTTAACTTCTTTAAATTGTCAAAAAATCCATTTTATATTTCTAGCAAAGTACTTTTCAGACATAATAATAATACTTCTAAATTTGTAGATTAAATAATTTATAATATAGTTTTTGCATGTTATATTTACTATAACATGCAAATGTCAGTTTGCATGTTATAATTAAATATGTCAGTTTATACTATGTTTGTACTATATACTATTTCAGTTTGACGCTATGGTAATTTATGTTGTTATATTGACATAATTTGTTCAGATTTAATAAATTTAAATTTATGGATTAATAAATAATTGAAATTAATAGTAATTTTATTTTTTATTCAGGCCAGAATCTGTTGTGTTATTACTATTATACTGTGCATATATTGCATTTATGTTTGTCAATAAACATGTAGAAGCTTGGATTCAAAATTTGCCATGCCCATGTCCTCGATATGTTTCTCAAGGAGAAAATGAAAATGAAAATTCCCATTTAATTGGTTACAAATCTCTTTCAAGCACAAATGGAACAATAGAGTCATCAAATTCACCTCCACCAAGTATTAAGGAACAAAAAGGTGAGAATTAGTGTTACTTTCTTATCTGTAATTAAAAATAAATAATTATAATAATCACTTATTATTATTATTATTATTATGTAATATAAGTGCCTGTAATAATATAAACATATATATATATAAATACAGGCAACTATAATGGGTAAATTTTTCCTTAAAATAAAATTTGATTTTTATAAATTTACTATGCTGATTTCCAAAATAAATATTATAATATCAATACATTTTATCATTTTGTAGTTAAGTAACATGTTTTAGATTATTATTATTATTATTATTATATTAAGTAAATAAAATATATTTGCTATAATTATTTATATATGAAATTCTTTTATATTTAGTTTTACAATATTTTAAAATTATGCTTTATATCATGTATATGTTTGATGATATGATTTAAAATGGAACTTGATAGTATCATTATTGAGTTTTATCTTCAAATAAATGTAATTAACTATTATTTATTTTAACAAAAACAATTTGCTTTTAATATTTATCAGAAAGAAATTGTATTTTAACATCTGATGTATTAAGTGTCTTTCATAAAAAACGCATACCTCTGGACCTTAAAAATGAAATTCTGGCATAGTTTAATGCAGATAAAAAAAACAAACGTTTTCAATCCACATAGGAGATGTAGATCAAAAACTTGTTTACATGATAACAGCCAATAAATAAATAAATAAAATTGTAACTGAGCATTCAAATCTCTTAGAACAAAAATAGATAAAATGATTATCAATAATTGTTAATATAGTTTAAATGATGAAATCAAAATTTATTGTTAGTAAAAACTTTTTTAAACTCTTTCTGCACTGTTGGCACTAAGAGGGATTTTTTTAATCATATCCATCATGGGTTCATCCAAGCCTACAATGGAGATGGCCAGATGATGAGAGACAATGACTAACAAATTAAGAATAGCCCATTCACAAAAATTCGTGGATTTTTCAACTGTCCCAATTCAACTTAGGTTCTCCAGAGTGGTAGGCTGATGCCTTAAATGCCTATTGATAGTGAAGTGTTATAATTGTGCATTTTAGTTATAGTGAATTCAGTTTAACTATAATTAAATATATTTCTCTCAGATTTGTTTTACTGTAGAAAACTAGTCTTGCAGTAGTACACTGCTTTATAAAACAGAAATATCTTTTTACCATGTAATATTAATACCTTCTTTTGCTTATATGAGCAAGGTATACTTTATATAAGCAATATAAGATATTTTCATAGTTTTTGCTAAATCAAAGATATGAAAAGATGAAGAAAAAAGATAAATTGAAAATAATTATAGTTCTGTTATAGGATAGAATTAAATGTTAATAATGGTCAATATTTTACAAGTCCTCTTTATGCCTTTATATTTCAAAAGGCTTCATATTTTGTTTATTGAAATGAATTTAGAATGTAATAATAACTGTAAACATTTCTTTAACTTAGAGATGAAAAAGCTGCTTGAATTGAATAATTCAAATGTAAATTTTATCAATTTTTTCTGGCAAAAAACTCAAAACAGATAGAAATAAGAAAGACGATGAATTTATGTAATAAAATGAATGTAAGTAGAATAAATTTAGAGCAAAATGGATGATTACATTTATGGTCATAGCTTACATTGGAACAAGTTTTAGTTTGTAAAATATACATATGTATACTTATTTCTAAAATTTGTGAAATTTGCAAGGTTCCAATATATCTACAAGACAAGCATACAAGCAACATAGTATTTATCTTTTAACTGTATTTAAAATAAAAACAGTTACAATGTAAATCATTAGAATTGCTGCTAAAGAAGCAAAAGTATGACACAAACTTTCAAAATAACTCACAACAAGTTTTAAGAAATTTTTTCTATACTTGGTATTAAAATATATTATTAGATGATATTTGTTTTATTATCTTAAATCTATACCATGAAATAATAATTAAAAATTATTTATTTCAGTTATTATTTGGTATTATGTAAGTTTATAATTGCTATTGATGATTTCAATTTCTCTTAATATTATTCTTAAAAATCTACATTTCTATAATGTATATCCTTACTCTGTAATAGTCTTAACCTTTATCTACAAAACCTGAAAATTTAAGCATTTTAACAAAGGCACTACACAAGTACTCTACATACAGTATATGTATGCACTGCATTTAAATTTATAGCTTTACAATGCAAAGTAACCTTGTGATATTTAAGTCAATTTTTTTTTTATTAAAATAAGCTAGAAATATGATAAATAAATTGTTACTTAATCTCTAAACATGGAAATTATTTACTTAATTTAAAATAATAATATTAGTACTAACTTGCTAGATTTAATGTATTAATAACAATTTATTGATCATATTTAAGATTTATTTTATATGACGAAATCATTTAAATATCACAATGACTTTTTCTTTGCATCTAGCGTGTCACTTAATTTTACGATTTTTATCCTTGTTTACATTATAATATTGACGTAAAGACATGATTTAATATGTATACTTTAGGCTATAATATGAGAAATTAAATTTGTCAAGGTATTAAATCGCTTACGTAAAAGAGTAACAGACCGAAAATTTATTTTATAGGCAGATAATTCTTTTACAAGGTCAGAATGCTATTTTTAAGCCGATTTAATATGAATTATTCTGTGTATTAGTAAAAGTACTGTTCTTAAAAATAGTATAGACAGTGCAAAGTTTTCAAACTGCCACTAAATAAAATTTTTACCTAAAACATTATCTAACATTAATTGTAATTCAAGAAACTTAATTCGTGGACACCTAAGAATATGCATGCATAATAGATGAATAATTTTTCCTGTAGCTTGTAGACAAAAGATATCTTCCTGTAGTTTTGAAGAATTTGTGTTCAAGTCCGCACATGAATTCCAAGAACTTTACATAATTGTTTGCTGGGATATATTGGATCTTTTTCCTAATAACTTGGCATTTGCTGTTTCTGCAGGACCTGTTTAGTCTGTTTTAAAAAGGCTTTAATATTTATAGTTTTAAAAAAGGTAGCAAAGAATCTAGAAAATTATATCACATCGTAGACTGCATTTCTTACTAATTAAACACACTCAAGAAAACCTTTTAAATATTTAAAAGGTTTCATTAAATATTTAAAAGGTTTATTTAAAACATTTAAGAAAACCTTTTAAATATTTAAAAAGTGTTTAATTAGAAAATTATTTAAAATTATTTTTGAATTCGTGACTACAGTAGAGCGTCGTTTATCCGAATCAATTGGAGACTGGGGTTGTTCGGATAACTTATTTTTTCGGATAACCGATTGTGTACGAAAAAATATATTAACCTATCCCGTGTTGAAATTTTTCTCCGTTGCGTGTCGCTTCGCGTTGAATTTTCGTCGATGTTAAGCCTAACGTAAACTTTTTAAAATAATAATCGTGGCTATTGTATCGTTAAAAATGATTTCTTTATGTTTTACAAACGAAATAAATACATTGAAAAATATAAAAACAAATAAAAATTATACTTTAGGCCGACTGGAATTCTTTCGGATAAACGACGCTCTACTGTATGTAGTTTATATTTACATTAGAACCCAATTATCCAAGCTGGTGTAGACCCGATACTACTACAGATAACTGAAAATGTGAATAAAATGGACGGGCATGGCCACTTTGAATTAAAAATGACTAATATAAAAGATTTCTATATGGGCCTATGGTATATCATTTCAAAGCCTCTTTTTATACCATAGGGAATTTAATTACATATAATTTAAGAACAACAATTTTTACATCATTTATTATACATTAATATATGTAATACAATAGTTTTTAAAAAAAAAATGTGTATTATTATAGTTACATTTTAATATGAATGGTTCATCTCAAAGTTAAATGATAAAAGGTAACAGAAACAAATCATTTTATGATACAGTTTACCATTTTAAACTTTCTTTTATGAATTACAGCAGTGTTGCAGTGTTTCTCAACCTTTTTAAACCCAAGCACCAGTAAAATATCTGAAAAAAATTCTACAGATTACTAACTTATGTAGGTCTAATTTTTAATAAACCTACGTGGGTATTACCAACATTTGGGACATACTTTGCCATTTATAAGATAGGCCTAATAAATATAAAAGCATGTTTTGAATACATATGGAAACATAATTAATTAAGTAAATTGGAAGAAACTATTAAAAGTGAATTATCATTGAACAAAGTTTAGTCTTTATTAATTTCATCTGCCTGCAGACCATCTACCCCGTCATAGTGGACCACAAGTTTGAGAAAAGCTGAATTAAGTATAATAAAAGTAGTGTGTATTCACTTACATGTTCACTAGAGATAATTGGGTTCTGCTGTATTTGTATTTGTAACATAAATATAACAACAAATATTTATGAATACTGTACTTGTCGATTTATTTATTTTTCGAATTAAAAATAAATAGCAGAAGTTCGATATTAAACTGAGTAAATAGCATTATTAAAGCGGAAAATACAGTAATAATATGTAAACCCCTCTACCATTATCAAACTTCTTCGATTTCAGTAACATCAAAGCGATGTGATCTGCAAATATTGATATTTTAAATTTTCAATGATAAATCTTTTTCAATCATATCATGGAGTTATCCTTATCATTTTGTAATTTTATCGTATCCGTGACGGACGATGTACTGTATACTACATAAATTACTATCTATAAAACAAATTTATTTTATCAATACAATTGACTTGTTGCATTTTTAAAGGGCTTCTGCTTGTTTTACTTTTACAGCAAGTGTTTAAAACAATTATTTTATGGTATATAATGAAGGAATATCTGTAGACGATCATTCTTCTAACACAGTGTTTCTCAACCTCTAACGAATCGTCGACCCCTTCAATAAAACCGTTACGTAGTATCACCCCCCTTCAACGTAGTATCGCCCCTTCAATAAAACCGTTACGTAGTATCGCCCCCTTCACTACAAAATTCCGATGCCGAGGGCTAAGGCTAACGCCAAATTCGTACTGCATCGAATACACTAGTGACTAGTATAATGTTGTTTGTTTAATTATTGTACAATATAACGAATAAAATATCTAATTATTCTTAATATAATGTTTTACTATATCGCCCAGAAAATTGTTTTTCGCCCTCCAAAATATAAATTGTTGCTAATCGCCCCCTGAACATGGAAAAACGCCCACATGGGGGCGATATCGCCCCGTTGAGAAACACTGCTCTAACACTTTCACGCCAGATAGAAATTCTAGGTATAAAATATTAATGATTTATCATTTTTCATTATCACTTTGAAATAAGCGTATGTGTTTATATAACTCAAACGCATGAAATTTTCAGAAATTTATAACATTAGCGCTTTTTAAAATTTTTATTTTTATTTTGACGTTTGGAAAAAATTAAGACAAGTTGAAAACGCTAATTAAAAAAGTTCTTAAAACCATGTTTAAAAAATTCTTAAAATTAAAATTGAAAGAAAATTCGCCAAGAAAGAATATTTCTTTAATGAAGATAATTTGTTTTCACATAAACAATGTAGAACTGTGAATATATGAACTATTCTGAACTAGCGCATATTTTTAATAATGAAATATATACATTTCAGTAAATGAACCTTATACGGTTATCTACGACGAAGATGAAAATCCCTTTGATCCACCAAAATCTCGAAGCCGCCTTGCCTTGTGGATAATTTCTCTTCCGCTGACTGCTGTGTGTTATGTTACTATTCCAGACTGCCGAAAAGCTAGATGGAAGAAATGGTATCTGGTAACGTTTCTAATGTCTTGTGTATGGATTGCAGCATTCTCTTATGTTCTCGTTTGGATGATTACAATAATTGGTAAATATATTTTGTTTTCAATATAATAATTATAAGGTTCAATTTGTTATATAAATTATCCGAATAATATATTCACGTAAGATTATAAAAATTCGCTGTTCAAATAAGTTTTATTAGAAGGGCATTCGTTTTTTCAGAATAGTTTACGTCAATTTTACGTCATTTCACTCTTCCCATTACAAAAAAATATAAGAATGATGTCAAACTGACGCAAAAGTGTACGTCAATTCTATTCAAACGAATGCATCTTAAGGTGCTGCTTATTTTGCTTCTCTCAAAGTTATATTAATAGAATTGAGGAAATATTTCGGTAAAAAGTGTGTATATACATTTGTAATTCGTGCCTCTTAAGCGTAAGCATTTTAATGTTGACATTTACTTCATTATAATCAATAGTTATAGAACTATGCATAATGAAGTAAATGTAAAGTTAATAATTTTGGAGCAAGAATACTAATTTTACTAACTCAATCCGTGATATAAATTCTTCAATATTATTAAGAAGTCTTCTATAATACATTAAAATATTTTATTAAAATTTTGATACTATGAGGAAGTGTTTACATATCTGAAATATGACTTTCTACTTGAAAATGCTGACTTCACATAACTTTATAATAAATTCTCTCCCCAAGGTTACCAATTCGCCAAGCTCTTTATAAATGGCTCTACTTTTATTACATGCTTCTGGCAAAATTTTGAAAACTTCGATTCGTCTTTTTCGTTTGAAAAATTGTTCTTCCGTCGTTTTTCGTAAAAAACAAAGATTTGTATAATTTGTTTTAAGTATCTTAATAAGTAATATAAACAAATCATTACGTTGTAGATAATTTAAGAAAAAAATTGTAAAGTTTTAAGAAAGGAGAAAGTTTACTTTTCGTTATTTCTTACAATATATAAACTGATGATACATAAAATATCGATATATTCTACACCAATGTTGTCAAAACCCGGGTTGCTCATGACTGCTTTATACAGTATATATAATTTATATTGCAGTCAATATCACAAATTTATTACTCTATGATATAAAAAATGATAAAAATTTCTTCGAATATTGTAATATTATTTTTTATAGCCAATAGGTTGTATTTTATAAAACATTTCGATAATGTATATTATTATTAAAATTACAAGCATTTTAGATATATCGATGCTTCAGTCTCTCATACTTTTGAAAATTTTGAAATATTGCCAAATAACTATGACGTGACAATATCGATCGTCACGTTTCTGCAAGATGACTTTCTTCCGGCATGTCAACTTGTCAACGTATGTCACAATACATGTTGAGAACAATAACATAAAATCGAATGTATTATATCTTTCTTCAAGTACTAATATATGAATAAGCTGACAGGAATTGATATATCTGTCAAGTATTTTTTTTTGCACATTCTTGCGTGTCAAGAAGTCCTGTGTCACGATTTATTTTTATTTTTTTATTAAGATTCAGAAGAATCACCATAACACATGTATTCAAACTGTCATTATTGAATGTAAATAATAATAATTTAAAACAGTAAGTTTGTTGGAGGAATAATTTATTCTAATTATGAAAGTTTGCTGAATTTCTAATCTCTATGGATCTTTGTTTTCCCTTCCTATTTTGAATTTTTGGGAAACTAAATAGCGATTATCCTGTTTTTTAATTATGATTTTCTATAGATAATTTTACGTAAATCTTAACATAATTAATAATTATGTACAGTATATACATAGTAAAAACGGAGACTTTGCATTAGAAACTGCAACCTGACTATATCTTGCTTTTGCTAAGGATTAGGTCAATACAAGTGCACAAGAGTTTAGGTAATCGCTAGTGGACTATTCGATGGCATAATCGTCATCTACCCTCGACTCCCCCTTCTTATAGAGCCAAATCCTATTTTGGCTTCTATAAAAGATATTTATCTTATACAGAAAAGTTGTTAACAAAAAGAAGTGCACTTCAGATTACTTTGGAAAGGAACATGATTGGAATGATTGAATTATTGTTTTTTATTTGGAATTTTCATATTGTTAGTACGATTTTTGAACGTTGTAATTAGTTTATATGTATATTTTTACACTTGGTTTAAGTAAAAATACACGATTGGTGAGATCTTTTAAAACTAGGATTTTGGATTATCAAAAAACAAATTATATTGTTGTTTTTGATGATGATGATGTTACTAATGCTATATACCTAATGCTTATCTTTTCTTACAGGTTTCACACTTAGTATTCCTGATACTGTCATGGGATTAACTTTTTTAGCTGCTGGAGTTAGTGTTCCTGATGCAATCGCTAGTCTTTTAGTAATAAGAAATGGTAAGATTTATAATAACGCTATGTTCTGTAAATAAGTTTGCATTTTATCTTAGAGTTTCAAATAATAATCTAGTACAATTTTCATAGGTTATGGCGACATGGCAGTTTCCAATGCTGTAGGCAGCAACGTTTTCGATATCCTGTTGTGTTTAGGATTACCGTGGTTTTTGCAAACGGCAGTTGTAAATCCCGGTTCTCACGTCATCGTCAGAAGTAAAGGTAAGTAATAAGATATTGGTCTTTAAATAACGTTCGCATTAAGTAAATATGTGTGCATATATTTAATATGAATCTTTTTTTTTTATAGGTTTAACATATTCAACACTAAGTCTGTTATCGACTGTGTTATTTTTATTGGTTACTACCTACTTAAATAATTGGAAATTAGATAAAAAGCATGGGATAATTATGATGGTCTGGTATGTTGCCTTTATGGTGATGGCAAGTTTATATGAACTGAACGTTTTCGGTTATTTTAATCCCCCCAGTTGCCCCAGTGACTATTGATAAAGATAAAAAAAAATTTCTTTTTAATAAAATGTAAATATTATATGTATATATGCCTGTGAATTTATATTTTTGTTCATCAATCCAGATGCGAGAGCTATTTTGAAATAGACAGTTTAAGTTTTATATCTATCAGTTTTATATGAAAATGAGATTTTCTAGTGATGTAGTTGGTAGATGAAATTAGAGTTTACATAATTTATTTTCTAAAGAAAATGAATTTCTGGATGAAAATTGAGAATGACTTTTGGAAAAATGATTGATTGAATTGAACCATTCTCTAATTTTTTTTTATTTATTAGAGAATGATTATTTTCAAAAATTAGAGAAGAAATATTCTTATTCTTGATCCAAGTTTTAATAAAATATAGGTCTATATAATGTGAAAGTTATAAAATTGTCATTTGCTACTTTAAGGATAAAGTGATGTAAGAAATCTCAAGTTTACCCGGAAGTTTTATTATCGTAATGTTAGTTATTTAAAGAACTGTAATTCGTTCTTATAATGTGTATTGATAATTTATAAAAAAAACTTCTGGATAAAAGTTTGTATTATGATATCGATTCAAGAGTTAGACTTTTATACTTGTAAAATAAACAGAGTCAATTAGCAGAATTTTAATGTATCAAATTAAGTTATGTATTATTGAACATTTATTATTATTATTTGTAAGTACTGTATTTATTTTTAATTCATTATAAAATAACATTTTATCAATAGTTATTATGGTTGTAGGATTAAAATCTTTTATATGTTGTTTTTTATTAACTTTAAGAATAAATAAGAATATAAATATTAATTTTACTTATGTACTCATTATTTAAAGTTTTGTGTGTCGACATAATTTATTACAGAAAGATAACTTCGTATTTAAAAATTGAGTACAACCTACAAAAGTTGTTTGGCAGCAGATTTGTACAAAGAAGGAAATTGCATATGAAAAGCACTTCAATGAAAGAACTTAAACAAATTACTTAACATGTCATTAGATTTAATTGAAGCCGAGCGTTACCGAAGCTTCTTCTATGAGGCTTACATAATTGTGTTCGTTCTCAAAATCCGTTTGATAGATTTTTATTAAACGTTGCATTTTTCATTAATTACGATGCGGAATCCAAAAATGCAATAAAAATGGGGGTCAAAGACTTCGTTTTCGAGATATAAGGTCGTTTCACGAGCCCGCGCGACAATGCGATATCGCGCGATGTTTCACGGTAGCTAGCACGTCTATGGGCTTATATAATCGAGTTCGTTCTCAAAATTTAATGGATCGATTTAAATAAAACTTTGCCATTTTCCATTAATTGAGACGAGGAATCCAGAAATGTAATGTGGGTCCATTTAAACGTAAAAATTCCAGCAACGAATCGCTTAACTTTCCCGGGAATATTTAAAATTCTGGTGGCGCTATCTGTTAAGATATTTCTTTTAATTATTATAAAATGGCAAAAAGCTTTATTTTGAGAGTAAGGGCGGGTTTTATATTAAAAAAAAATTATAAATGCTAAAATCGAGTAAAATTGTCATTAAGTCCGACCCTACTCCAGATATGACACACGACCACCCTTTATCTCTCCACCCTGTTGACTTTAAACACCAAAACTTAATATCACAAATCTTTCTAATATACAAACCTTTCTGAAAAATTTTAGAAATTTTCAAAAACGCATTTAAGCTTCAAAGAGGGTAAACAATATCGTACCCCACACACATTAACATCCATACATACAGAAAAAACTCTGAATGTTTCTCGACATTCAAGGTCTCCTAAGTCCAAAAATGTAAAAATCTTGTGGGTCATTTTTTGACCGATTGCCATACTTTCCCTCTGTTATAGATAACAGAGCCAGGAAAGTAAAAATAGGAGTCCATGACTTCGTTTTCTATATACAAAGGGTATTACAATGACAATGTCCATGCTCTCTGATGCGACGAGTTCACCTAACGGAATTTAGACCTAGGAATCAAAAATAACAGTATTACATGCGCGTAACGAAAAATAGGCGAGAAAAACGAATAAAACAAGAATAAAGCAATCGATGGCGATTGCTTTGTTCTTGGATCGTCTCTCCCGTGGCCTGCAGGTAAGAAGATAGCCTCTTGTGGCGGCAAGTGTAAAGTTCACCTGTCCGCGTCTGTCAGTACTGTACAAGAATCGTCTCTTTTATGCCTAACAGGGTCAGGAATCGCTTCTTTCCTTCCGACTCCGCTTCAATGCTATTGCGATACGACAAAGTCGTGCGATGTCCTAAGCTAAATTATTCTCTGCGGAAATATTCATGTAACTTTTTATTTTGATTTGTATTCAACGTATCCACTTAACAGATTTATTAGTGAAGTAGTTTAAAGAATTTTCGATGATTTTTATCCTTGATACAATGTCGTAGAAAGGAGGAAAAAAGTGGTGCGGCCGAAAAACGGAGTTGCCATGATTACGGCTGTAGTTTCCTTGTTTCTCTATAAAGATCTCACTTTCAATACCTATCTAGTTATTTCAACTTCCTAATTTTTAAATTTTCCTGGATAGAGATAGAATGGAGGAAAGCAACACCTTAGGCTTTTCTATGGAGAGAAAGCGCTATACCTATTAGTTTGGTCTGACGCCGTTGCACGCCACAGGGTAATTTGAAATTAAAATTGTATTCGTAAGGTTGGCAGCAAAAATTGCGGGCATGTTCCTACGGCCTTAGTAAGTACATACTTTATGATTTTCTTTTATATACTTCAAATTATCGAGTAAATTTCAATAATTTTGAAGTGTACGAAGTAAACCATAAGATGGTGATAAAGTATAGGATAGTTTCATATTGCTTTATATAAAAGTTTGATACGCAAATTAAATGAATTCTGAAAGATTAATTTTTAAAAATACAATGCAGGAATTTCAAGTAAACTATGTATCGCACTGTTTTCTTTAGAAAGATACATCTATTATGCTGTATATAATTTAAAAATTCTCTTATATTTTTCTAATTATTTATACCCTTTTAGTATAAATTACATTTGAATGATATTATTCTGTTACAAGCTTCTGATTTTAATTTTAATGAGTTTATAGTGTACAAAATTCTTTACCTACCATATTATTGATTTATAATCATCATATATAAGATAAATTACATTTTAAAATCAATTTGACGATTTTCTCACTTCCTCCTTACTAAAATTTTACGTGAATTTGATATCACGCCTAAGTATACTAATCTGACACACCCGATGAAGTCAAGACCCAGACAAAAAACATGTTAGGCTCTAAATGAAACTCGAACCCACTTTTTCGCCGAAACTTTGGATTACGAATTCTTTAAATGGACACGTTTTATACATCGGGATATAACGTTTTATACATTCAGGTGTTTCTTGTTTTTAATCACTCCATTAATATACAAATTTTGAAATTATTACAACTAGGCAAGAAAATATTTTTCAAAATATTACAGTACTATTAAATACTGAATTTCTATTCTTTTAAGGGTTTTTTTCTAATAATAAGTTTTTACAAAAATAGGAATATTAAATAAACAAACTTGATTCCGATAAGCGTGAAATCTGAGATGTATTTTATTTAGTTACTAATTCAGATAATTTAGGCCTATATATAATTAAATCTTGTATTACTAACTCGTAGATACAAAACTATGAGATCTTCATTTTATCACTAAAGGCATGCATAAAACTCTCAAAAAGCCCTCTTTCCGTACGTTCCAAGAGTTTGGTCCCCATAATTCTTGATTTTTTATGATTATTTTTATCCACATTTGTATCTAAAAATATTTATATTTATCGGATTATCATTATAAAAAAGCATTTTTGTAAAACATTTATGCCTATTGAATTACGTGAGATTGGATCAATTATTGAATTATGTCAAACTCCACGAAAAGCCATCGGATATAGAAAAAATACATACAAAGAAACAAAGATTCAAAAGAACGAAATTAAAATAAATTTAATTTCTACAAATTTTCAGAATATAAGATAAGATTATATCTAAAGTGAAAGTTTTATTTTCATTTTGCGAGAGATAAGTTGTAATGGTAGTATTTGCATTCATTGTTTAAAGATTAAGTTTCGAACTGTCATTATAAAACAAACCGTAATATTTCAAAATGCAACGTCTAAGCCTACTAAATTATGTGGATTCGTACTACGTAATTGGTGCTGGGGTTTTTGTAAAGAATGGCTAGCTAATATGATCTTGCCGAATTTAAATATATTATTTTTGTGCCATAGACTGTAAAGCGAAATGTTCGTAAATGGATTTCTTTCGCATGCTCGCAATGTATGATAAAACTTCCTTTATCTATATTATCATATTAATACATATTAATGGACGGTTGCTCAGTGGAGACGTTAATGGCATCAGCTCGCCGTTTGGGGACTAGGGTCTGAATCTTACAAATTAGTAATTTTCTTGAGTAGTTTGGTCTGGACACGCCATTTCTCACCATCCTGTGGCACTATTATAAACCTATACGAACCCACGATGCATAAAATGAAAAGAATCTTTTTTGTCTGTAGGATACAGGTAAAAAGAACGAAAATTACTAAGCCTGCAAAATTATTACTAGCCTACGTATGGTGAAGCGATAATATTGCTACTTTTTCTAATACTAACGATTATATCCCTAATACGATAGTAATGAGAAAGTTCTGTTACGATCTAACTTTCTAATCCAAGAATTCATAAAAAATTTCAGCCATATGACATTAAAAATTTTGTCCTTTCATTTCTTTGTAAACTTACTTATTAATTCTCTTCATTATTATAATTTTACTGATCCCAATCAAGGTCTTAAAAAGTTGGTATGTTTAAAGTAGAATGAAATAGTTAATTCATTCTTTGTCAAAGTAAATTTTCCATATCATTAAGTTTAAATTAAACCTTAAAAAATTGATTCATTTATAAAAATCTAATAGGCCTATTAGCAAATATATAATATAGTTCTGAAACATAACACTCTCATTCTCTCATTTCTGCATCAAAATATTTTTGTTTTACAATGGCTACGTTTAGTAAATTCAACAGTTATAATTGAGCAGAGATATATCAATGGTAACACTACTATGTAAATGCAATGAATCTGCTGAATTACAAGTTGATGGTACTACATAAGCTTCTGCTAATTTCCACAAACTCAAAAAACAGTTCAAAGTAAAATAAACTCATGTTTAAATTTATATTTTGTATATATTTGTTTTTAGTTGCTGTAACTTGCGTATGGATTAATATTGTAATACAAGGCTTAATTTTCGTAAATAATATATTCAATACTTATTGTATGAGCGCAGCCATCTTTGATCAGTTATCGCTACCCGGAATTAGTGTAAATGAAGTCATCCACTAAACATGACGTTAATACACTCAACATGTTCCGAAATAGAGCTTCTGTAGAGGGTGTTTAGTAAAAAAAAAATACTCAAACGCTTCGGAACTGTCGAGTCTGGTGAACGTAATCAATAATTGGTTAAATCAATGGTGTCCAAATTGCGGTCTCCGGGCCAAACATATTTGACACACTACTTATAAATTACAGAAATAGGCCTACTTTTCTATATATACAGTATATAGAGAGAGAGCGAGAGAGAGAGAGAGAGAGAGAGAGAGAGAGAGAGAGAGTATACAAAATAATTGTGCCCGCCTACCTAATTTGGTCGACAATCGGAAAAGTTTGGGGACTACCGAGTTTAATGTTAATGTATGTTTGCTTTTCACCAGGGCTGTGGAGTTGGAGTCGGAGTCGTCAAAAAACCTTTTCCGACTCCTTTTTACTCACCAACTTGTTATGTATATAAAAC